TTCATTGTGGATCTGGCAAGAACAGTATGCTTAGAAGATTTCCATGATGGCTGCACCTCCCAAAGTGAATAAATATCCACTAGTGGATTTAGAATCTTTCATATCCGATATCCAGTTGGCATCACTATAGCCTTCAATTACAGTTGGATATTTAGAGTAATGCAGACCATATTTACAAGTATATCTCAAGTATCTAAGTAATCTCACAATTCCTTTCCAGTGGTCATCTCCTGGATTACTTGTATATCTACTCAGTTTACTCACGACAAAGGCGATGTCTGGTCTAGTACAATTCATTAAATACATCAGACTCTCTATCACCCTTGAATATTCAACTTGAGAAACACTTTCGCCTTTATTTTTCGACAGATGTTGACTTCTATCTATCGGGACCCTAGCTTGAGTCGAATCATCCTTATTAAATTTTTCAAGGATTTTCTCCAAATAATGTGTCTGACTCAGAACAATGCCTTGTGATGTTCTATGGATTTTAATTCCAAGAATCACATCTGCTAGACCCATATCTTTCATGTCAAATCTTGAACTTAACATATCTTTTGTGGATTTAATAATTTTATCATTACTTCCAACGATAAGCATGTCATCTACGTAAAGACATAAGATTACATAACCCTTTTTTGTGTCTTTAACAAAACACATTTATCACATTCATTAATTTTAAATCCATATTCAATCATGACATTATCAAACTTCTCATGCCATTGTCTTGGCGCTTGTTTTAAGCCATACAAAGACTTCACCAATTTACAAACTTTATTCTCTTGCCCGGGAGCAAAGAACCCTTCAGGTTGCTCCATATAATTCTCTTCTTCTAAATGTCCATTTAGAAAAGATGTTTTTACATCAATTTTATATATTTCAAGATTTTGTAAAGCTGCAATTGCAATAATCACCCTGATGGATGTTATCCTCGTCACTGGAGAATATGTATCAAAGTAATCAAGGCCTTCTTTTTACTTATAACCTTTAATCACGAGTCTAGCCTTATACTTATCAATTGTTTCATTATGTTTCATTTTCCTTTTGAAAATCTACCTGTAGCCCATTGGTTTATTTCCATGAAGAAGATCCACTAGCTCCCATGTGTGATTTTGCAAAATGGAATCAATTTCACTTTGGATTACCTCTTTCTAAATAAGTCCTTCAGAAGAATTTACAGCTTCTGAAAACGTTTGTAGTTCACTTTCAACCATATAGGTTAGAAAATCTGGACCAAAAAATTTTTCTATCCTACCGCTTTTACTTTTTCGATGTTCTACTTCAACATTTCCATCTTGATCCTTTTCCATTATTTCCAAATTTCTTTTAGTGGAACTGGAATCTACTTCAGACTTACATGGAAATATATGCTCAAAAAATGAAGCATTTCTAAATTCAAGTATCGTATTCTTATGAATTTCCTCAATTTTGGATTCATGTACAAGAAAACGATAAGCACTACTGTTGTGTGCATATCCAATAAATATGCAGACAATAGTTTTTGGTCCTATCTTTATTTTCTTTGGCGTAGGTATTGCCAGACACCCCCACACTCGCAAGTATTTGTAGGATGGTGGTCTTCCATGCAATAATTCATATGGGCTTTTGTCTAACTTCTTACGGGGAACCTTATTTAAAAGGTAATTTGCTGACAACACAACTTCCGCCCACATGTTCTGTGGAAGTCCAGAACTTAACAACATGGAATTCATCATTTCTTTTAAAGTACAATTTTTTCTTTCCGCAATCTCATTTTGTTGCGGTGAATAAGGTGCTGTCATTTCATATTTTATCCCATATTGGGCACAAATTTCAGCGAAAGGTGACTCATATTCACCTCCCATGTCACTTCTTATCACCTTAATCTTTTTATTTAACTGATTTTCAACTTCATTTTTATAGAGAATAAATTTCTCTATTGCTTCATCCTTACTTTTGAGAAGATACACATAACAAAATTTAGTGTTATCATCTACAAAAGTGATGAAATATTTATTTCCACCACGTGTCGTGACAACTTTTAAATCACATACATCAGTGTGAATTAAATCAAATGGTTCACTTTTTCTTTCAATAGTTTGAAACAGTAATCGTGTCAATTTTGCTTCAACACAAGTTTCACACTTATGTTTTGAATCAGTATGGAACATAGGTATGCTTTTCAATTTTATTAACCTGCGCAGGGTATTATAATTGACATGTCCCAGTCTACCATGCCACACAATGGAAGATTCAAACATATAAACGGAAGAATTAACATTTTAATTAATTGTCATTACATTGAGCTTAAAAAACCCATTACATTCATAACCCTTCCCTACTAATGCTCCATTTTTAGTCAAAATGACTTTATCAAATTCAAACACTACACTAAAATCGTATTTGATCAATAAAGAACCAGACACTAGGTTCTTGCGAATTTCTGGTACATAAAGGACATTATTAAGAGTCAATTCTTTTTCAGATGTCATTTTCAGTACCACTTTCCCCACTCCTTTGATGTCAGACGTGGCAGAATTTCCTATGAAGAGCTTTTCTCCATCCATAGTCTCGTCAAGGACATTAAACAATTCCTTGTTTGAGCAAACATGACGGGTAGCACCCGTGTCAATACACCATTCATGTGGATTTGAGCCCACCAAATTCAACTCGGATATAACTGCGGCGAGGTGCATCTCATCAACATCTTTGGCCAGATTTTCCACTATGTGGGCTTCTTGAGTTTTCTTTGGCAATCTGCAATCAGATGCCTTATGGCCTAGTTTATTACAATCATAACAATTTTCAAAAAAAAATTTCTTGAAAATTTGTTTCCTTGGCCCCATTATTGCCTTTCCATTATTGCCAGCTTTTTTCTTATTATTTTTGTTTGAGCTTTCGCCATGCTCAACAACATTAGCCTTGGCAAAATGAGGATTAACCATTTTATTGTCGTAGTCCTTGTTGTCTTCTTCAATTCTAAGTCTAACAACGAGCTCTTCAACGGTCATCTTCTTTTTCTTATGTAATAAATAATTTTGAAATCTTTCTAGCTCGGTGGTAGCTTTGCAATTATGGCAGCCACCTGGAAAGTTTCATTCACAACTATTCTCTTAGAATGGATATCATGCAAGATTATTTAAAGCTCTTGCACTAGACTGATTACAGTCTTCGAGTCAACCATCTTGTAGTCTAGAAACCGGCCTACAAGAAATTTCTTGGCCCCAGCGTTTTCGGTTTTATATTTTTTATCCAAAGACTCCCACAGCTCTTTTGCTGTTTTGATAGAACTATACACATTGTACAGTGTATCAGCCAAGCAGTTCATCACATAATTTCTACACAAGAAATCCGAGTGATTCCAAGCATCAAGCGCACTAACCGCTTGAACATCCGGATTTTCCCCCAACTTTGGTGGAATTTCCGTCAAGAACCTTGCAAGGTTCAACGTAGTGAGATAAAACATCATGTTTTGCTGCTAGCGCTTGAAATTCAAGTCATTAAATTTTTTCAGTTTATCAGCATGATTTACCGGAACAAAAGGAGAAATAGAAATTGTAGTAGCAACACCGGTATTAACAACTTCAATAGTATTTTGTTCAGCATCCATCTTTAATAGGAATCTGTTTTAAGATTGTAGGGAACTGTTTATCGGGAAATTAAAAATAAGATGGCTATATATAACAAATACTGAGGCCTGTGAGAACACAGTGTCCTTAAAACAGATTCGCCCCGTATGAGCGTCTGTTTCCCAGGATACAACGGAAAAACCGAAACAAATTCAGCGAATTGGAATTATGCCTGGACCAAAACACTTAAAAGAAAATTGGGAATATTGTATTTTCTTTTCTTCTTTCTTGCTTTCGTATGTTTCATCAAAAGAAGACAAGTCTTCTTATATAGGCTTAAGAAAGCCACTTACATTAATACTTCATTTAATACCATTAATTCAAAATTTAATGAAGTTATGTTTGTAACATGAAAAGAAGTTGTACTTTGTAAGTGAAAGACACAGTTTCAACAAAATAAACTTTATGTTACAAATTCATTCAATAAATTTTCCAACATTATTATCCGCGGCGAGAGTCTGCCGTTAGTGTGTGTGCCTTGTGGGTAAATACTAAATAGTGTGTGTTTATGTACGAGGAAGAAGGAAAATTTAATGGAGATAGTGGTGGGACCCACCTGTGTATAATGTCTTATTTATTTCTATTTAGTGCTCAAGTGTTTAAATTTGACCATTCTAACTAGAATTGTTTACGAAATTATCATTATGATTGACTTGTACATTATAAAATTTGACTTGATCATGTCGAGATGTTGGTATCAATGGTGCAGAGCAGATCTATTTTTATTTTTCACTATCTACCATTCTCATATGATCGTAATTATATATATAGTATAAAATTTTAGATTTTTTTTCAAAGGCTTGATTGTTTTTCAAATAAAATAATATTATGTGACGGAAAAAAGTTTAATATGTCCATTTGTAAACTTCATTATCTTTTTTTTTTTCTTTGGTACAGGGACCTTCCGGTTTTCGGTTCCACAGGGGAACCGACTAATCCAGAATCGAGCCGGGTAGGACAACAAGGGCGGCAAAGCTCTCCCTCAAGAGTTTTATCACTACTGCATTCTCACAGCTCGAACACGAGACCACTGATTAAGCTGGAAGAGACTCAAGTCATCTCATAAACTTCATTATCTTTAGTAATACAGATGAAAACTGGAAAAAATTGTAGTCGGGCAAACGGATCCCACTAAATAAAGTCAAATAAATAACTGAATTAAAAAAAATAATAAATAATAAAAAAAATGAAGAGGTAGCTGATTAGGTGGGTATGACACTTTCCAGAACCAAGCTTTTCACGCGTTATTGCGTTAGCCAAACGGCCCTTTATAAATTGGCAATCAACTCTTGGAAGCTCAACACAAGCACACCATAATTAATTGGCTTAAATACACTTGCTTTCATTCTAATTGTCTTCTTCTTTGCCTATTACTCATTAATTAATTAAACCATGAAAGATAAGTTCTACGGCACCATTCTGCAAAGCGAGGCGCTCGCTAAGGTTAGTTTACTTTAATTTATGTCTAGTTTATTACGATTTTAATGCATACTACTAATTAATTAATTAACTGCTCATCGTACATTATTACGCACGTGTAGATTAAAAGAATGATGGTAATAATAGTATAATATTTGGTTTGATTAATCTGTGTAATAAATAATAAAATCAGTACCTGTTGGAAACAAGTGCGTATCCCAGAGAGCATCAACAGCTAAAAGAACTCAGGAATGCTACAGTGGACAAATACAAACATTGGTACGTACATATATATGTAGTGGGAAATATTACGGTCCCGTTACGGAATTATTACGTCGTTATTTATAACCGTTAGATTATTATCTAACCTTCGGGATATTTGATCTAACAACACTAACCCCAACGGAATGGTTTCGTAACGAGATTGTAGCATTTCCCTATAATAATAATAATATGCAATTATATGTTTATTTCCATTTAGCTAATTAATTATATATAATATGTATGTATGTATGTTTGTATGTATGTATGTATATATAATCAGGAGCATTATGAATGTGCCAGCTGATGAGGGGCAATTCATTTCTTTGCTTTTGAAAATAATGAAGGCGAAGAAGACAATCGAGGTGGGAGTTTTTACTGGCTACTCGCTTCTCTCCACTGCTCTTGCTTTACCTGATGATGGCAAAGTAATTTCACCGTTTCACTCTCTATTATATAATACTATATAATAACAATTAATTAATTAATGGTTAATTATTTACGTATGATTAATAAAATAAATTCATGCAGATAATAGCGATTGATCCAGACAGGGAAGCATATAAGACAGGATTGCCATTTATTGACAAGGCAAACGTGGGTCACAAAATAAACTACATCCAATCCGATGCCTCCAAGGTCATGAAGGATTTGCTTGAAAAGGTGAAATTGATTAGGGCATGTTTGAACACAAATATATCTGCACAAAATGAGTTTTTTTTTTTTTTTTT